TCTTTCCCTTTTCCCCTCCACCCGCTTCCTCCTCTGAGATCTGAAGCTGCCTCTCAGGTGTGAGAGGTAGAGAGCCTGGGGCAGCTTTCCTACCCTCAGGGAACGTTTTGCAAATTGCTGAATGGGACCTTTTCAAGGCTTACTTGGGGTCCAGTAAAATGCAGTTTCATTTTCTAGATTCCAGAATTATGTAGATTTCACGCTTAAAAATTAAAGCCTGAGCACTTCATTGAACTCAAGTTTGGGGGACTAATTCCCTTCTTGTAGCCTTTGGTCAGTCCTGTGACCGCTCAGAGCTGCTTTCTGCTCTGCATCTTCCTGAGCCTGCCCTCCCATCGAGGGCTTTCTCAGCCAGCATCTTGAGTCCGATGGGCTCCTCCGAGCACACACGCCCTTTAAAAGGCGCCGAATCTTCCGTCCCACGTATAATGTGTGCTGAATGTCTTCCCCGGCTCTGGTGCCTCCTGGTCCTGGCAGGGGACGTGGGTTTAATTTCTAATGACCGCCTTCCCTGCTGGCAGCAAAGCACTATTGTGTGCCACAACCGTGTGGATCCCAATGGTTCCCGCTACCTGCTGGGGGACATGGAAGGCCGGCTCTTCATGCTGCTGCTGGAGCAGGAGGAGCAGATGGATGGGGCCGTCACCCTCAAGGACCTGCGAGTGGAGCTCCTCGGGGAGGTAGGCCTGCCCTGCGCCCCTCCCATTCCGCACTCTCCTAGTGCCTGACGCCCAGGCATGGGGGACCCCCCAGGTCACCTTTGTTACCTCGCAGTAAGCCCTGCAATTGTCCAGTGTCTCCAGGCAGTGGACACTCCCGCATGCCTTGAAGGAAAGGAGGGAAACTGGTCGGGTGCTGTCTGGACTTGGAGATGGGTCCAGTGCTGGTACTCACTGCCTCAGGCAGGAGGCCTGGAGTGTGTGCGTTCATGCGGACAGGTGTTAGATGCAGATGTGTGCGTGCATGCGGACAGGAGGTGTTGGATGCGGATGTGTGCGTGCATGCGGACAGGAGGTGTTGGATGCGGATGTGTGCGTGCATGCGG